AGTAAATCGTCAGTTGTATCCTCTGATTTTTGTCTGTAGGGATAACGTTTCTATTAACAATATCTTTCAGGACCCTTTCCTCCGTTTTACAGGTACAAGAGGAGTGTTGTTAACGCATACGTCGACCGTGCTCTCAGCCACAGCTCAGAATGGAAGCAAGTCGACGAAGAACTCTGTAGGGTAAGGCAGGTCCTAGTCAATAACGGCTTCTCCAATGGTTTCATCGAAGACATCATAAGAAGGAAAGTGAAAAGCCATGCAACCTCTGAAGAGACAACTAACACAACACCTATACCCCCTATTAGACTATTTTACAGGAACTTCTTTTCCACAGCTCATAAAACGGAGGAAAGGGTCCTGAAAGATATTGTTAATAGAAACGTTATCCCTACAGACAAAAATCAGAGGATACAACTGACGATTTACTCTAAAACCAGAAAAACGGCCAGCCTACTCATGAGAAACTCTCCAGACACAAAACAGAACGCTTTAAAAGAGACTAACGTCGTCTATGCCTTCAAATGCCCACTTGGGGACTGTAAGCTCCAAAAAACCCAGTATATAGGCAAGACAACAACATCTCTTTCTAGGCGTTTAACGATGCATAAGCAACAGGGCTCCATTAAGGAACATATAATCTCTTCCCATAACCAAACCATCGCCAGAGAAATCCTAGTAAACAACACAGAAATCATCGATAGATACAGCGATAGCAGGCGGCTTGACGTTTGCGAGGCACTACACATCAAGAAGTCAACACCAGCAATCAACAGCCAATTATTGCACAACTATATTCTACCCACCTCAAGACTCCGCTCCAATATAGAAGCATCAAGAAATATGGACCAATAGGCTTTCTACAAACACTTCTATTCAATACCCATTGTTTCTGTTCTGTCTTGTGTTGATACTTTTAATACCCTATTAATATCCCCTCTTGTTCTGTCTTGTGTTAATGCCACATCACCCCTCCCACCTCACTCAAATGTAGATATAAAGAATATATATATATATATATATATATATATCTAGCTCAGGGGATGACATTAGATAATATCCGCAGATGTTCCAAGTCAGCCAGGTGGTGTCTCAGATTTGTCCATTGGAGTGAAGATATCGAAATATTCATAACGTTTGACAGCATCAATAAAATTGAGAGTATGAATAAATTAAGTATATTTATCTATGCGCTCACACATGAAGATAACTGGTACTACATTAGCTTAGCTAGAAAAGGCAGGAAACATTCCGCCCGTAAGGTACCTTTGCTGATGCTAGATGATCAGCATCTCGTACTCGTTAAAGATTTCAATCAATATGTTTGCAGCATGCGCTGTCAATTAAACAGAGCCTCAAAAATCATATTTTTTGCCATTCGTGCTTAATTCATTTAACACCCGAAGCTATGCAAGATCACAAAGAGTAATGCGAAGTGTAATAAACATTGAAATTTTACCCTGAAGGTCATAAAATTAAGGTAAAAAATTTACGGTCCTGCAAAATGCTATTTATTAAGACAGGCAAACATATCTTCTGTTATGAATACATTTCATCTATGCATAAATTTAATGGACCTTCTCACACCGCTTATTATGATTTTGAATGTTTATTGGGCCTCTCCAATCCCCTAAGAATGATTGAGAAGCGTCACAAAGCTATGGCATATGCTTATACTATCATTAACAGGGAATTGGAGGTGGTAGATAAATTAACTCATATGGGGGATGAACCCGTTAATCATTTCATAGATACGTTGGAGAGGTCATGGAAAAGAATTAAATCTACCATGCTCTAATACAAAATATCTATGACACGTGCACATTGGCGAGCTTACAGACGGTAAACCACATGTGAAATGTGTTATACCCCATTCAAATTGGCTAAAGACAAGCACCGTCATCATGACTATGCTATTAAATTCAATAATTATCTAGCTGAATATTGCCGTAGGTGTAACATGCTATGCAGAAATTCCTATAAATATTTGTATACTTTCTCACACAATGCAGCTCATGACTTCATGGTAATTTTAAATGAACTGTCTAACCTCCTTAACCGCAAGATCGATATCGCCTCCAAAGATGGATAGAAGTTCATGATAGTGGATATTGGTAAACTTCAAGTTATGAATAGTTTAGCTTTACTAGATGGTGGGTTGGATAAACTAGCTAAAGAACTCATCAAGGTAAACATGGTAAACCTACTCGGGACACCTCAGTTATGCTAGATGACGTCCCTGTAGCTGCCCACCATTTATTAAAGACAGGCAAACCAATCTTCTGTTATGATTACATTTCATCTTTGCATAAATTAAATGAACCCGCTCTTCCTCCAATTTCCCCCCCCCCACCCGAAGCATTCTATAATAGTTTAAAGCACGAGGCTATAAGTCAGAAAGATTATGATCAGGCTAAAGAAGTCTTTAAATTGGTGAAATGCAAGACCATTGGGGATTACTTGAAGGTTTATTTGAAAGTGGATACTGGACTATTGTGTGATGTGTTTACTGTATGGCGTAAGACTATGCTTGAGTTGTACAAGTCGGACATTACACATTATGTCTCGTTATCCAGTTTTGTATGGGACGCCTGCTTGTTGAAAAGTCAAGTTGTCTTGGACTCTATTTCTGATCCCCATTTTTATGAAGTATTGTGCAGAAAATTTTATAGGCAGGTTTACCTCTGTAGTTAGACAACACACGAGTGTAGAGAATGTGCAAACTGGTGCTGACCTCTCCAACATTGATATATATATTTTAAATTTAGATTTCAATGGGTTATACGCCATCTGCATGACAGAAATGCTTCCCCAAGGTGGCATTCGTAAATTATCTGCTGTTGAATGTGATGATTGTCTCCAGCAAGGATTGGAGAATATTGCATGTGAAGGGGATAAGTGTTATTGGGTCATGTGTGATACTAAGCATGTCACACCTGAGGTAGCTCGATACACTGATGATTTACCCCTAACCCTTTCATGCGCAAATATTTCTACTGATCCGCTGTCTGCTTACAGCAAACATATTTTAAATACCGAAGATCGGAAACTCCCTAAGAAAAATAGTAAATTAATTGCCTCTCATCTCCCCCCAAAAAATTACTTAGTGAGTTTAGATTTATTGTCTGGGGTTCCATATCATGCAAATAGCAAAAACGATCCTGTATGATTTTTGGTATAATACTGTCAAAGCTCATCATGGAGACAAAGTTAGATTGCCGTATTCGGACACGGATTCTTATCTGATCGAATTGACCTGTCCTAATGATTTCGAAGAATTGAATAAACTGCCTTTATCTCAACATATGGATTTCAACAATTTCCCTCCCGAAAATCCCTATTTTGATGAATCTCGCAAAGGCCAATTGGGATTGCTAAAATCTGAAGTTGGAGCAAAAATCATTAAGGAAATTATTGCGCTAAAACCCAAAATGTATTCTATTCTCACTCAAGATCAGGTTCACATCTTCCGTTGTAAAGGCATATCTATTTAACATCAATCTAAACTTACTCATTCGCCTTTCCAAAGTGCTTTAGAGTTTAATTTTGTGCAACAGTATCAGTCCAGATCAATTAGGAATGTCAAAGGGCGTATGTGTACCTGTCTGACTGCAAAATGTGGATTGTCTGCCTTTGACGATAAACGTTATGTACTGAGCCCTACACAATCCTTGGCGTATGGACACCCTGATATCCCTCAAGCTGAAATCCAAGAAGATAATGAGGAGGAGGAGGTACCTGCGGCTGCTGCACGTCCTGTAAGACGTGGGTTTCACCCCATCTTCAATATGTGGGGAAAACGAGATGCATTGGTCAACAAGACGTATCCCCGCAATTAGTAATTGGTGTTAGAAAAATTTATCCTCCTAACCTATCATTGATGTTTTGAAAAAATGCGGCCCCTGCGGCCCCAGTGATGTTTTGAAAAATGTGGCCCCCTAACCAATGTTGAAAATTATGTTTTATTCTATGTAAATAAAAATTAGGAAAATGTATACTTTGAAGTTTTTATAAAACCTTAAAATGCCTATATGTAAATAAAAAATTATGAAATGTACATTTCGATGTTTCTATAAAACTCCCATTTATGTTTATATATGATGTTTTTATCACACTTATCTCAGTGTGAACCCAACACGAGTCATGGATAGTTCCCCCAATAACGGAAGAACAACTTGATATTTTTAATGAACCTAGCAAAATAAATATTGCAGGATTTTCCAATGGTGGTAAATCTCATTTGTTCACTAAACTCATACAAAAATACCATTTGAAATTCACTAGTATTATTATATGTGGAGGCAGTTACAGAGCATTGCTAGATGATCCAGTAATTAACAAGAAAATAATAGCTCATCCTGATATTATCTACCCTTTAGATGAACGTACAGCCGAGTCTCCTCATTTTAATTATTATTGATGACTTGTTCATCGAATCAGCCAATTCAAAAATTGTTTCTGATATATTCACTAAAGGCAGTAATCTTGCTATTTCGTGTATATTAATTACCCAAAATATATTTTTCTCTGGTAAATATGCTAGAAGCATAAGTTTAAACGCCTCCCATTTCATAATAGTGAAATCTAGAGATTTAGCTCAAATTGAGACTTTAGGTTGGTAATTATTTGGTAAACAAGATTCTAAAAAGCTTTTGGAAATCTACAAGAAACCCCATCAGTAAATCTTATGGGTATTTAATGGTAGATTTAGGAGTAAAAACGCCAGAACATATTACATTCCATAGCAATATTGTAGGTAAGAAACCATGCGAAATTGTATACCAAT